GATACACAACATGGTTTTTTAGGGGTAGGTCGGTTGCTACCAATCTCTCACTATATGTCCAGGATGTTTCTGAGGCGTTAGATATTAGGGTGCAGATAGATGCCGTGTACACCGACTTCTCAAAAGCTTTTGATAAGGTTCACCACCCAACAATGTTGATCAAATTAAAAAATTTCGGTGTACACGGTTGTCTTTATAAAATTCTTCAATCCTACATCAGTCCTCGGACTCAGTTTGTAGAATTGAATTCTGCAAAATCCCAAACGACCCGCATCACATCTGGAATTCCTCAAGGGTCCCATTTGGAACCATTGTTATTTTCACTGTTTATCGCAGATGTCAGTAACTGTTTTCTTTTTGCTAAATCAGCATCATACGCAGATGATCAGAAATCATACGCGCCCGTGAAAAGCCTTAACGACTGTCATAAGTTTCAAGGAGATCTTGATCGTTTTTATGAATACTGTGTAAAAAATCGTCAATTTTTAAATATTGATAAATGTTACTGTCTTAAGTTCAGCAGGCGGATAAATGATATAAACTTTGACTACACATTCAATGGTGTAAAAATAAAAAAAGTAGAGCAGATTAGGGATCTGGGAATAACTATAGATGTAAAATTAAGTTTTGATATCCACATTGAGAATATAGTAAAAAAAGCTTATAAAAATTTAGGTTTTATATTAAGAGTTAGCAAGGAATTTCAGGATCACAAATCGCTTATTATTCTATACAATTCCTACGTTCGATCTCACCTTGACTATGGCGGTGTGATATGGAGTCCTCAGTATCATAAATATATAGACAGAATCGAGAGAATACAAAAAAAGTTTGTTTTCCATTTAAATTTTAGATTTAACCGTAACTTACTAACTCATTCGTATGAAGCTAGTCTTAATTTCTACCATATACTGAAGTTATCTGTTAGAAGAATTATCTCCAGTGCTATATTTTTGCATAATATTATTAATAGTAGGATTGACTGTCCTTTACTGTTGGCTATCCTTCAATGCCAGAGTCGTTATAACAAGAACTCCTTCATTATTTTATGTGCCTAGATTTAATACAAACTTAGGTAACAATTCCCCAATATCTCTTTTACATAGACATTACAATAATTATTTTTCGCACATTGACATCTTTGCGTTATCACTTAATTCGTTTCGAAATCAAGCAATTAGGGTTTTTCTATAAATTTATTTTAATTTTTAATTTATTTTAATTTTTGATTTGTTTTCCTTATTTTTTCACATTTGTTTTTTGTAATTCACACACTTAATATACAGTGTTAGTTTTGGTTTAGTTTGGTAAGTTTGATTGTTATTTTTTTTTTTTTATCTTCTGCTTATCGTAGATATAGGTAGGTACTTACTTATAAGTTTTACTTTGTTAATTAAATAATGGTATAATTGTTAGTGTGTCCTTGTAAATTGTGAAGTTAGTTCTTCATGTTAGGGCACCTTTGTAATAAATAAATAAAATAAAATATAAATAAAAAAATAAATTATTTAGCTTTCACCTTAAGCTTAAGGTACACCCAAAATGTTGTGAAAAATTACTTGCTATGCAAGGAAAGAATTTTATCATAACTAGCAAAAAATATGAACCAATTTTTTTTTTATTTAAAAAATACTAAAAAAATATGTTTGTTGCTCTACTTTTGTCCGATAGTGTATGATATTTTCGTACAGAAGACACTAACCTGCACTTTGCCCGATTCTCTTTCTAAGCAGCGAAGATTTAATGGGATCCGGAGAGATTTTCAGAAAATACTGCCGTAAAAATCCTGCATCCAAACTTAATGCCGAACTGTCAGCGGTCATGTTGCTTGTTGAATACCGCAAGATCATTGGTTAAAAACGAGATTTTAAATGTCGCGCATGCGCATGTTGGATAGACCTTCTCAAAATATTTTTCATAGTTACTTCATGAGTTTTTGTATTATCAGCATAGACATTTAGGTAATTTTCAATTATTGTTTAATTAAAACGAATTTTTCAAATAAAAAAAAAACATTTGCAAAATTTCATTTTTTGCTGTGGCAAGAAAAGAAAATACCAAATTGTTTTAACGCCATAAAGGAGTGCGCAGGTTCTACATCTACATTGCACTGTACAAATTTGAAATAAGATAATGAAACCCCTGGATAAACTAATATGGAAAAATTCTGTTGTAACCGTTTTTAATATAATATTATCTTGTCTCCAAGAATGAACGAATGCTGTTACTATGAATGATGAATTTTACTTTGAAAAAAATAAATTATTTTTAATTCTATAAACAGAATCTAAACAATTTAGTGTATGTTTGGCTTAATTTATATAACTTGCTCTAGTTTCAAGTTAATTATTTAGATTAGAAATAATTATAAAGCTGGTTTTCTAAATTAATGGCATTCTCCCATCACCATATTTAAAGGTCTAGAGAAAAAAGTGCGGAAATAAAATTCTCCATAATAGAGGGAACATTTGGTTCAAATATCTACACAAATTTAGGAGATAATCGAATTTGACCATAATTTCCTGCAAATATGTCTAAATTATATGTACTTCTAATTTTGTTTATAATTTATAAAACGTGTGTAGACACAAACTATCCAAAATCGTTGATGCAATATAATTTACAAGACTAAAAATATATGGTTTCTTAAATTTCGGATCTAATTTTTACTTCTTAATTCAAGTGAACTGTTAATAAATAAATGAAAAATTTTGATTTTTTAAAGAAATTATTAAGAATCTCAAAAACTAATGTATTGAGGATCATTTAGACAAGTTGCAATATTTTAACCGATTTGCGCAGTTTCAAAACCTGATAATTGCAATGATAATTTCAAGTCGGATATATCTTCGAATTTTGAAACTTACGTGAATTCCCAGCTAGTATTTGGTCTAGCTTTTAAATTGCCACTATTGAAATGTGCAAATAATATATCTTTTTCAACAGATTATCGAAAAAATCGCTGCACGGAAGTTGTTCATTTATACAATTCCGTAGAATTGGAGCAATTATTGGAGTACATAAGTCTATGTAAACTGTCTGCCACTTTCACTTAAACCTACTACCAAAAGATAACGGATACTTCGTAGTCCGGAATTTCATGCACCATGTAGTGTAAAATGTGTTCACCGGTAACTCGGAAAATCAGTGTTGCCAAACCTTCTCGATGTACTTCGTATGTTAATTTAAATGCCCACAATAGAATTTCATACAGCTAAATTTCCATTTTTTCTATCCACTTAAAAACACAAAAAACATTCGGTTCATATTCAGAATAAGACAAAATCATGTCATATTATTTGCAATATTTTCCTCAACCTTTACCTCAACAGATTTTTCAGTTATCCCATCTTGGAAGATAACTCTTTGATTTCTCGCTCAAATAATAGTATGTTGATATTATTATTATGTTAAATTGAACAGCAATTATGTTATTTGTTATTTTAATTTAGAATATTGAGAGTATTTTACACATAGTTATTTAAAGAAAATGTTTATTGGGAGTCTGACGAAACGTTGAAAGGTTGGAATTATTTTACAATTCAATGAATTTCCAAGAAGGGTCAAAATATTTTGTCATACGTAAAGTATACCTCATAGAAGAGAGGAAAAGAAAACAAAAGTGGGCCGCACTTTATTTTTGATAACGCCTAACAATGGAAAAAAATTAGAAATGGTCAGGTGGCCTATTACCATGTTGGTTTATTATCCTGCAGCAACCCGTGAGGTGAGACTTCTTTTATTTTGTGAAAAATAAAATTTCCAAGGAAGGAAAGAAAAATACAAATATTTTAAGGATTCGACGTTGTTTTTAGACAGTAATTTTGTATGAAAGAATGGAGATAATTATATTGTGTTTTAAATGAGTTAAACGAATAATATTACAATAATTTACGTAAAAGCTGAAAGAAGTTTCAAACTTGTGTTGTCATTGTTTAGCTTATTACTGTGTAAATCATTGTCAAAAATTTAAAATAATATACACAGTTTTTCGTTAAACCAATTTAAAACCGGTCTCCGTATACTTATTCTGAAAAAGGTACTGAATTCTAAAACTTATATATGGAACAGCAAGCAACTTTTCGATATGTATCAAATATAAAGCAATCAAAGTAAAGGCAGCATTCAAATGCGACATTTACAAAAAACAAATGGTAGAATATGATATTCATTTAATGTGATTAATTATTAAATAATTTAATCAACGGCTTTCTTGCATTACGAGAATTTTGTTGTTGCCAAAAATATTTATATCCATTATACTGCGTTTGCGATAGAGACTCATTTGATTAAATATTTCAGCATCATTGTGACTCCCTTTACCTAGTTTATCTAAAATTTTGGAGTTGAATAAATCACTATGACCTAATAGAAGAAACATAGCTATGTCTATTTAAAAAAGGATGAAAATGCTACTGAAATCATCACAAAAAGCTTTGACGAAGCAGTTTTCACTTTTACAAAGGGTTGTGACTTTTTCAAAATTTTCTAGTAAATTAATAAACTCGGTAACGTTTGAAAAATTTGACAACAATATTTCAATTCAACAAAACAAAACCATAAAAATATTGAGATTTTAATTTTTTGCGAAATTAGATATCGAAATTGCAATTTAATGTGATATCTGGTTGGACAAATCCAAACACCCTTAACAGTTTATTGTAAACCAGTAGTATATTCTCAACAGAATTCAAAATACCTTTTACATATTTGATTTCTTTACTTTATCGAAAAATTGAAAAGCAGATCATATAGTACTACTTCTGGACTATTACTCCTAATTGAACGCTAAGCAAATACACAGACGTAGGCAAAAATAGTGTAGACGTTAACTCTGTTTACGTGATTTTTCTGTGAAAGGCAAAGACTTTTTTATACATCTGACAATGCTGCCATTAGAAAAGTGCATTTTCTCGTGCACCTCTTCTATGACAAGGTCGCGCACTCCCACCGCGCCTCGTCACGAAGAAATCTTCTTAAGTTATATAGGAAACCTCGAGATTGGTTCACACTTTAGTTAGTGCTGCCAACTACAAAGTACTATGCGATGATGGGTCAATTTACGGAGGTGAGTTTCTTTGGCGTGCGTCTGTTTAAGCAATGATTCTTATTGTTATTGGTTATAACTACGATTTTAACTATTTATATTCGTTGAAACATATTATCTTATCATGAAAACTGTGCAGTTTTTATCGGCTTGAATAATTTCAATTTTTGGTAAACATTGTTCGTTAAAGATAAAAAAAAAGTGAAGTGAAGATTATCCATCATTATTTTCAAATAACACAGAAAATTTAAGTGGTTTTATCAAAATATTTTATTCTGGTAGTACTAGTAGATCTTAATCTGGAGTAAAGGAACGTAAATTTGAAAATTTTTATTCTCGGTGACATTTTTAAAATTATTTCTTAATGTATAAATTCTAATATGCACCTTGCAACAAAGACCAATTGATCAATGTTTTCAGATATTTCTACTCACTCTATTCTTCTCGACTTCAGCACTGTGTGTTGCCACTGAAGAAAAAGAACCGAAAGATAAGGAGGAACTCGTCCCGTCAGAAACGAAAGATGGAAAATTGGAAATCATCAAGAGAATCAAGAAAGTCAACAGCGACGGCTCGTATACCATCGGCTACGAAGCAGATGACGGATCATTCAAAATAGAAAGCCGGGATGTCTTGGGCAACGTTAAAGGGACATACGGGTTTGTGGACGAAGACGGGCAAATCAAAAGAGTGTCTTACAGTTCGAACAATGCCAGCGAGATATTTTCAAAACCGCAAAATCCTCCATCCGAACTTTCCATTATTCAAAGGACAAGCACGGCTACTCCACTGGTCACCGTTAAACCTGAGACCCATTCAACTACAACAGGACATCCTGTAACCAGCACGAGTTCTAGCGTTATTCAAAGCATTGCTAGGCGCAAATCAACTGGAAGTACATCTCGACCCAACTATCAAAGCGTGGAAAACATCAAATCGTCGTCGAAAATCAATAACGTTGTTTATTCGTCAGCTGCTCCTCGGGTTCTGTTGCAAAAGCCCGCTCCACCTTCCAACCCGCAACTAGCGTCAAAATCCGAAGGCCAAATTCTACGCCCCGAGGTAATTCAAAAAACTACTCCATTCCCAACCTTTAAAACCTTGTCTGTTAAGCGTTTCGAAGATGAGAAACCAGTTACTGAGGAACCGGAAATTAGAAGCAATATTTTAAGGCGACAGACTCATAGGGCACCCTACGATGCACAGTCTCATATTTACAATTCACATCAATCGGTAGGCAACGATGTTCCTGATGTGTACACCTCCGGAGTTACTGAAACCAGGCCCCTGTTTACGACCACTGCAAGGCCTAGCAGGATTATTCCAATTGTTTCTAGTACAACAGCAGCTCCTGTATCGGTCGTTCGACCCATAAAATATGCCTCTAACTACCAAAGAAATCTTTTGCATGAGCGTGAGCCTGAAAATAGAGAATATTCCCACGAAACGACGTCAACCGAATCTCCGGTATCCATTACGAATTCACCGGTGGTTCAGATTCCTGCAAACAGGCCTGAACATATTGATCAGGCAGAACCATTGATAGCTCTACAACACCCATTCCAAGGCGGAACTATTTTACTTCCTTTTAACCAGTTCCAAAGTAGAGTAATACCGGTGGAAGACGCCAGGCGCAAATATATTATCCAACAACAGAGAGAACAGCAAGTGGCTTCCGAAATAGAAATCGAAAAGCAGCACGTGAAGAGGTTAAATTCTGTACAACTTAGACCGTTGCCTGTTCAAGTAGATCAAAATGGCTATCTACGCGAAATGCCACAAGTAGTAACGCCATATTCACTATCGGCGGCAGTACCAGTGCGAATGCCAGCGTCTTCAGCTTCTCAACACCTGAACAATGACGCAGAAAATGATATTAATGATATCCAACCCCCTGTCAGTACTAAGGATTTCCAGAAGCTTTTGAATAATCTTATAATGAGACAAAAAAGATTAGAGAGAATTAGCGAACTAACGAACCCAAAACTTCATCCAGAACTATACCAACCACCACCAGTAGTCTATCGAAGAGTGCTACAGCAGGGTCCGCCTTCTTACTTCGTGGGAAGGGTACCCTACCAGCAAATTGAACCGCAACCACAAGAGACCGAGGCGTCTCAACAGAGGCAGTTCGTAGAATTTCCTAAACAATATATACGACAGCGAGTGTATCAACCTGAAGAACCGGATACCTACAGATCGCTTTATAATCGGCAAGACCTCGACCTGAACGGAAGGGAACCTAGAGTGTTGAGACATCGAGATCAAGAAGAATATCTTCCTCCGGATGTAAGAGAAATGCTGCTGCTCAAAATGCTGCAATTGGCTATGAATCCTGCTCTTCCAATAGACGAAAACGACGAAAATGAAACTGACTCTAAAGCTACAATATCTTCTCCTCAATATAGAAGAGCTCCAGTAAGAAATGTTGAAATTCTTGGGGAGGAAGTTGAAGAGACACCGATGCGAAACGTTGGTAGAGTTAAACGATTAACAGGCCAAGATTACTTCGAGTAACAGTTTCTCGATTTTGTGTATCTAGACTATAGCAGTATTAAGCCGGTGCCCGTTGGCTTCATTTATGTATTTCTAAAAAAAGTACCTTTGCTTTCACGCCAAATATTACCTAATTTATTTCACCATTACAAAAGGTAGTACTAGTAGTATAGGTAGTACTTATTTATTTTTGTATACATATTTCTGTAGATCTATTTTTTTAATGCTACATGTGATTTAGAAGAAAGTCAGTTTTTTATGTGACTACAAGCGTGTGTTACTGATATTGACTCTCAAAAAACCATTCTAAAAATGTTAAATCAGTTTCATTGCCATTCAGGCTAAACTGCAATTAGAAAAAGTTATTTCAATAATAATTCATTTAAAAATAAAAAACCAAATTTTGCAGGAACTGACATCATTCTTCGTCCTTTACTATTTGTGAAATTAAGCTATTGTTATAGTTTTGAAACGTGTAAATAGGTATTGCATAAGTGTTACCAAAGATGTGAACGCATTTGTGAGAATATTTTTCTTTAAACATTTGTCGCTCCACTATTACAATAAAACAATGAAAAATTTGCATGAATTTATTATTTCCCAACTGCAAACCTTGTAAGACGAAATTGATAGCGTACAAACAACATTATTTGCAGAGTAAATAAAGGTGGGATTTTCTTAGAAATGCACAACTTTCGGGAACGATTGTTAAAATAGCTAAAGTGCGCAGAAGTTGTTGTTTAAAACCTTTACCGAACGTGAGTTTATAACCAACACAATAGAGGAACTTGTTTAATAATAATTATTAGAAACCAGCAAGTTTTAGAAAAATACGGATTAAGTATGTAATTTAGAAAGAAAGGACTTCAAAAATATTTGTAATTATTTTTTAAAACAATTCATTGAAACAGGCAATTTAATCCAGTGATTGTTTTTAAATTTTCTTTATGTTGTTATAATTTCGACTGGTAAAGGAAAGTTTTTTTGCAATGATATTTCGGATGCATATATGGAAGTCACCTTCACGATGTGTTGGCACTTCCTCAAATTCCTGATAACTAATGACCAATATATTTAATTGAAAAATATGTATTTGTTTCCATGCCCAAAAATATTTATGTGAAACTGCAGAAAAACTTTGCGAAAACCAAAAAAATCTAAATATATTACAAATTGTCAAGACACTATTCGAGAACAGATTCTAATCTAGAAGGTTCTTCAACTGGTTCCAGTTCTATAACTTCTTTCTGAGACTCGTTCCAATCTTGGACCGATCCACTGCCCCAAATCATAAAGAAAATGGCAGTAAAGAGAAGGATTGCGGTTGACGAGCCGAATACCAAGCGCCACCACCCTGCGAACTAACATTTTGCATTAAATAATTCTATTTTTGTAGAAAAATTGAATTTTAAATATTCGCTATCTCATTGAATTGTAATAGTAGTGGTATTTAGTAATTTAGTGTGCAAAATATTTCCTCAAACTCTGTTTCGCCACTCTGCTAGGAATATTTAGTAATTGTAATAAATTAATATTAATCTATTCTTAAACATATGTAGCGGACCATATCAAAAATATGGTTTACAATTATTTTAGAAGTATATCCACCATTTATTATAAAATTGTATTATTTCTATACTTCACGAAAAAAAATGTGTTTCATAAAAACATAGTTTAAGTTTTTAAGTAATTTTTGAATAAATACCTTTCTTAGAAATTTTTCTACGAGCGTGAAGAAAACAAAAAAGAAGAAAAAACACTAAATTAGCGCTCAACTTTTATTATTGAATTTGAAAATCGTTAGCATATTCTAAATATATAGCTGATGGTAAAGAATTTTTTGAAACAGCACTGGTTGCTGAATTCCTACTACCGCCAAAAGCAGATTTTATTTCTTGATTTTCCGGACTGCCATGAATAAGTACACGGATCTGTTTTTGAGTCTATAATATTTACAAACAAATTAGTGAAAATGTGAAAACGTAAATGAACAATAAACAAATAATTTTTCGACAGGCTTCAGTCAACTTTTTTTTTTCGTATTATAGTACTATAATATGTGTTCCGCAGGCTCGTGGAAAAGAAATGTTTTAATTTGACGAAAAAGGGAATAAAGATATGCTATTAAAATTATCATTACTTTATAGAATTTAAAAAGGCATCATTGACTTTTTCAAAACTAGGAAGCTTTTTTAAAATTAGGACACCACTCGGTTGCAAATTGCTAGAATCAGTTGCAATATTAGAAAGTATTATTCTAAATAATCGTAGAGAATATTATTTAATTGAAATTATAGACATACGTGTAATTTATAAAATCTATGAAGGAAGTTTCAGTTTAATCGAAGACGCGGTACAGAAACATTCAATCTACTTCCCCATATCGCTTAGGTTAACGAATGTAATTTAAACAAAATGCCGTTTTCTGAAAAGCATCTTCACGTTCAAGCGAACGCTTCGCTTCCGTAACTTTTTTATATAACTTCCATACTAAGATGTTTATTACTTAATTAGATTAACTCTTGCGCTATTATAAATCTTATTGCCGCTTCCTCCGATATAAAAGTAAAAGTTGCGCAATGAATTAGCAGATGAAGATTGTTTTACCGCGAATTGACTTCAGCTTAATCACCAGTAGCCATATCGTTAAATTTTCATAAATATAGGAAGCGGACAATGTTCAATATGTCATAGCAAAACGTAAGGCCTTAATTAGCTACATCAATAACGTCGCATTTCCTGCAATTCTCTAAACACTTACCGATCCATGCAACCCCTCGGATACCACATAATTGGCGGCTAGCAGACCAGCAGCACCAACAGTCTGACAGAGTCCAAATACGGTCCCTAATATTAAAGGAAATTTTGCATTATATAACTCAGTTCAGTTTTCTACTCACAACTGAATACTAAAAATTAAATCCTGTTTATTATTTTGGATGTGGACACTTCATTAAAACAACTTATATTTTTCTTAATACCAATTTTTTAGGGTGACGTCCAAGAAATTAATCTAACCGAGATACACAACATCTTCTAAAAGGCGATTATTTTGAATAGAACGCCCTGTATATCGTTGCCCATTGCGATGATTTACAAAAAAATAGGGAATATAATTACCCATTACCCCGTATCTGACTTATCTTATACATTTTCCATTTACGAGAAACAAAAAATTAACATCACACTAATATGGCGTTTTTTCAATATTTCTCATATAAAGGTTTTGGCCGATTTATTAAGGAGTTACTTATAACCCAGGAACCATAATACCATATCAATCAATCAATTCTTCTCTTTCTTCTTCTTCTCTCACTGTTTTTCCGTAAAAGTCGAGTTGTTATTTGTGGTTTATTTTTGTCTAATATATTACTTCAATCTGTAGCCTAGCTTTTCGAGATATTCGTTCTGTTCTTTTTCCTAATTTGTGAAGATAAATTGATCAATTCTTGAACCTGCAAAATTAGGAGCAATATCAGCCGCACTGGCAAACACTCCTGCAGGCGTGGCACCCGTCATAGCGAGAGCGGCTGTGTAGAGAGCAGCGGGGGCTGCGGGATCGCATCCCGTATATCCCAGGATGAACATCAACGCAGCAGGAGGAAAGTGGGCTAGAACATATGACATGGAGAAAATGGGCAAAAATAATTAATACGCTTACACATATAGACAAATAGCTTTCTTGCTGTTGTTGTGGATACAATACCGGACTCACGCACATGGTCAACCACCGTACCAAAAGTTATAGCTGTGAAGAAGTGACCAATGTGCGGTAAGGATTGAAGTATATCTTCCTACAGCAAGCGAATGTATATTTTCTTGAAACACTGGTCGCCGTACGTACGTATTCTATGGAGAATCCATATACAAGTTTGAGATACTTGGTTACCCCAAGCATTAAAGTGGCATCCGCCCACTGACTCCCCACCACCGCAATTCCGCAGGCCCATGCGGGTTTCGAGAACAGCAATCTTCTCCACGGTAAATCTCTGTGTTCCTATAAATAAAATCCATAGCTGCCGATCAAGATAACAGCAAATTACTTACATCCCTTTTGGGGTAGTTGGGATTCAATGATTCTTCGACGAACCTCCACCACAGGAAGTACCAAACTGATGCAGATAGCGCAATTACATAGCTAAGCCAGTCTCTGCCCACTTTCCTGACCAACAAGGTACCCAAAATTCCAACTACTGAATAGCCCAGATTCACGGCTGAAAAGTTAAATTTTAAGTATCCAATAATAACATAATGTGTGTGACATGGAAATAGCAAGACCCAAAAAATAAATTTAAAGCAGTAAGGTATAAAAGCGCTTATGAAGCCATGTCATCATATGATATTCAACTTATACTATGAAGGGGAGCCGCTATGAGACTAGCTAGTCTTAACAGGTATAACTTAAGCGGTACGCATAACATATCGCATATGACAACCCCTAGTACATTCTTTGTTTACAATTGTTTATACTTAGTGATCAAGTTCAAATTAGGCACTGACGAAGTGATTGTAGTCCATAATAGTATGTCCAAATTTTGCCATAAGCAGAACATATGGGTTTTGATATCCATTCACTTGTTCTACTGAATTGATTTTAAAGGTCCTAAATCAAGTGTGATGATGCTCTATTAAATAAACCTAATTGAATAAAATATAATATAGGGTGACAAGATGATCACCAAAGACCAAGACCAAAACAACAATGGGTGACATAATAAGTGTCTAAATTTCTATTTGACACGTACCCGAATATAGTGAAACAAAGCTGCTCAAATGTTTTGGCTTAATCCAAGTCACTGCAAGCATATGGGCAGCTGGCCAAGTAGCACCCTATAAATTAACATCCAATCTTTCTACGTTATTGACATTGAAAATAATTTACCATGAATACTCCTTGTATTAAACGAATAGTCACGTGTCCAGCCGTTAACCAAGACGCAGGTACCATCACTGCTACCACCCCAGTGCCCAAAACACCAGCACCAAAGAGTCGCTCGGCACCTACACGAGCGGCGATTCTACTGGCGGCTAGTGGAGATACGAAGGTACCCCACATGAACGCCTGTCTTAAAACTGCCTCGGTTTCATCAGTTCTAGTCATAGGAATCTAAACGAAGTTGGAACAAAGGGTTATAAAAGATCTTGAGGTCTTATGAACGACTCTTAGTTTAAGTTCTTCAAATGGATCCTCATCCTGTCAATTAGAGATTTATTGAAATAATTTTCATTCTGATTAAAATTATAAATGAATCGTGCTGGCAAAAGTTAGGTATATAATTTCCATACCTTCTTCGATTTTTAAATGGTCTGCTTTGATAACAAATGTTATATTTTTTTGGAATGTGACGTAGGTTGGCAACTGTAATTCCTTTAAAAAAGGTATCATTCCCATATGCTGAACCTCTGTTATTTCCAGTTGCAACACCTCAACCATATAAAGATATTAAAGATATTAAATTATTAAATTAAAAGATATTAAATATTATATAAAATTAAAAGGTATGGAACAAATAGTTATAGAAATTTAGAAAAAATGGTATATACTGCAATACGTTTTATAAACAACGCTTTAGTTATGAGTTTGTTTAGATACGAGTGGAGTGGAGCGGAGCAAATGTTTAATAAACGAGGGTTGTAAAAAGTCTGTAAACCTAAGTGGAGATATCCTGCATTTGAGAAGTATTTTTGCAACACACAGGATATAAACACGAAGTTCCTACTAGATACTTACTTCGATATGAGGAATAGATCGTACAACATGAACGTAAACTTCGATGGTGCTATTTTCATCTCCGTCTTTTTGAGCGGGCGGTTGACAGTACCTGGTGATGTAGCTGGTGTTCTCAACATATTCAGCAAATTCTTCAGCGGAATAAGAAGAAGTGCTATTAGCCCTCAGAGCGACGGATGCACTTTGTTCCACTACACCACATAATATGAACCCCGTAAGAACAAATACAGCTAGAACTTGCCTGGATCCAAATTGTTCTGTAAAAAATGAATGACAGTAAATATAAGAAGCTGGCATCGTAACTTTACTAAAATTCAAAACCAGACAATATGCCTACCACCCGATATATGCGAAAAAAATATTTTTTGAAGAGAACTTGATGGTCATAGCTTTAGTTTTGGTTTTGTTAATAGTTTCTTTTTTGTACTCCTTTTTGTCTTCTCGTTATCCACTTATGATTTAGATTTGGTAGAATTACTTTTTCAATTTTAATTATTTGTTTCAATTTCTATTATGTGGGCTCTTGCCTGCAAATTATGAGCTATTTATTTATATATTTACTTATTTGTACGGTAAAAAACCAATTTTGTGATTTCTTTACAACTCAATTAAAGACATTTTTAAATGTCGTTATTTCCAATTGCCCTGAAAAAGGTACTGAATATTTTCTATAGAGGAAAATACCTGTTTCTATACTAACGGCATTATTGAGATTTCTTCGGATATATAAATGAATAAAAAAATTAATTTTACAATATTTTCTACATATAATGTATCTCAACAAATGGGACAAATACTCTAGAAAAATTTTTTATTGTTGAAGTTGTGATATACGTACGTATATCTTAGTATTTAATTTTTAAGCGAGCTTATTTTTTTGAATATCACGTTATCGAGGTTTCTGTGAAATATCTCAGTGAAAGTACGTGCGAGTCCCACTTTATTATAGTTTTTAGAAGCATTGTAGGTATATCACTTTTATTTCGATTGAGTTTAGATGTTTGTCAAAAATGTATATTTGTATAAAGTTATTTAAAAGTAAAACTTTAAAACTTGAAATTTTCAATATTTTTCCCCATTTCCACCAAGCACTTTAATAGTTGCTTTGCAATTTTCAATAAATTAGTCGTAGGTTACCTATTATGTAGAAATTTAACATAAACACGTTCCTCAAAATAATATATAATATTTATGGTCTAGGTAACGTTTCCTCTTTCATTTCCAGATCCATTTCGTCCAAACATCTAAGAGTAATGTGTCTAATTTCAGTTGGTAGATATAAGTTGTTAAGTTTCTTTGATTGCAAACGACCATTAATTTTGATTGAAAATTTTGTTTATGGTAGTCAAGCAAAAGTTTTACCATTAACCACTCTGGCAGCTCGTTGTAACTGAACACTTCCTCGCTTCAAAGTACTAAAACCAGGGGCAAGCGCCATAACTGAAATGGGTAGTAGATTAGAGCAATCCCTTTATTTTCCTGTTACATATTCGCAGAGCATACACAATTCTACACGACTGTTTAAAGTTGAGAGATTACTTGCCTAAGCAAACAATATTTAATAGGATAATTGACTCGAAGATACTTATAACAAATGGTAGGCCGAAATAGGAAGTATACCTACATAAAAGCGAATTTATCCCGGATATGTACTTATAAGAAGACACAGGGCAGCTAATCATTTTCTACAGCCTGCGTAGCTTGCAACCATGAAACTTTTGTTTGCTGCTTTACCAAAAAACTAACGATAATATTAAATTATTCGACTTTAAAAATATTGTTATTATTTTTAGTTTTGATTCCTAATAATTAACTGATCTGCATAAACAGATCTCTGTCTGGAAAATCTATACAGATGAAATTTATATCATAAGACTTCAGTAATTCACAGTAATTTTTTTTCTGAGTATTACATTAGCACTAAAAAAATTAATATTAATTTAGAAACTTCTTGAAAATTAGCTGTTTTACTTTTTGCAATAAAAATATGTCATTATCGATAAATTGAAAATTATACAAAAGCGGTTTCCTGTCGACTGAACCTGACGACATATTTTCATACAACATCCTATTTCTTAAATAAAAATCTTAAAGGTCATATTATTCTATAAACAATCAATTCGTTTAAAAAAAATAATTGTTATGAACCACCAAAATTGGTTGCAACCAAATCGTTGCAAATATTTTCCGATTTTTTCTACAATTTTGTAAAAACAAAAGATGTCTCAACATTTAATATTTGTTTAAATTTTTTTAATTTAGTCAGAAAATTTTATTTTTTTAAATAATATGGCAGTTACTACCGGAGTAAGATTTAGTTAGTTGCTCCTATAAAAATTATTTCAATAGCGGAATGCCGTATTTACAAGCATTACTTTTAACTTCTAGTTTTGTTATAGATATCTTGCCTGAAGATTTTCCAATTACACAATTTCCTGAATCTTGAATTCTGAATTAAGGGTTAAAAACATGAAAACAAGGTGTAAAGTATTTTTGAAAATTTAATTATACTTTTCTGGTAATGGGCGAATGATTCTGATACATTTGCTCTACCTGATTGTGAATAGAAGAAAAGAAGATTAGACAGTTTTCTGTGAAACGCATCATTGAATTGAATTGATTCTATGAAGGCCAATGTGAGATGTTTACGTATCTTCAACGTCAATGACCTCAAAATGACAGAAACAACGTATTGGTACACATGTTAAATGAACACAAGGCGGAAACAAGGCGGCAATTTTTGAATAGTGTGGGTGTTGCGAAAGAGAATTATTTGAGTCGTCTTCTAAATGCAACCAAATTGATGACGTAAAATGTTTCTTTATCCATGATCTGAATGTGGTCCTAACCTAAAGAATATTTCAAGGGATGCGTTAAAAATTCACGAGATTCTTATAACACATCCTAAGCCAACAAATTCTTTTATCTCGCTTTGAAAATAAATCGGATGCCATCATTCACATAAAAATGTATATATTTTTAATTTGAAATTAGGAGTTAGAAATTTGTTTCCTTGATTTTAGGAACTATCTACCATATATCCTTTTCGTCATACTTAGTTTAGATATATTATCTGATGCCAAAGATGAAGATTATTATACATTATTAGGTGTTCCTAGGGATGCAACAGTACAAGAAATAAGAAAAGCATTTAAGCTTTTGGCTGTTAAGTTGCATCCTGATAAAAATAAAGTAAGGTATAAGTACTTATATAATTTTTCAGTTGGATATTAAATTAATTGCAGGAGGACGAAGAGGCAGAAACAAAATTTGTAAAAATTGCAAAAGCATATGAAATTTTAAAGGATCCAACGACAAGGAAACAGTATGACCTCTATGGTGATACTGAATTTAAAGACAAAAAACATAATTATCACAGTTACACATATTATAGGGACCACTTTGGAATATATGATGATGATCCCCTCATAGTTACTCTTAGTAAAAACGATTATGGTAAAAGAGATCCTACATTTAATTCATTTCAAGTTACAACAAATATGTTCTAGAGTTAAATGTACTAGATAAAACACAAGCCTGGTTTGTTAATTTTTATTCACCCCATTGCCACCACTGCCACGAGTTGGCACCTGTATGGCGGAAATTGGCTCAGGAACTCGAGGGAGTAGTCAGAATTGGGGCTGTTAATTGTGAAGAGGATTATCCCCTTTGTTACCAATTAAGTATTGAAGCATATCCAACTTTATTATATTACCAAAAAGAGGTTTGTTCAGTTATTAACAATATAAAACACATTTTCCTCAATTGTTAATTTTGGTTAGGCTCATCTTTATGAAGGGGAGAAATATAGGCAGACCAAAACCCTAGAAACTTTGAAAGAGTATATCTTGTCAAAATTGAAGGTGGAAATTAAGGAAGTGAGAACCAAAGAATGGCCAGTTTTGAATAACCAAGAATGGTTGTTGTTTTTGTGTCCAGATGATAGTTTGAACTGTCCAGAAAAAGAAACCATGACGAAACTAGCAGCCATTTTTGTAGGTAAATTTAGAGTTTGACTTTACCGTAACAAGACTGTTAATATGATTTAGGAAGGCCTTTTACCAGTTGGAGTTGTGAAAGATTCAGACCTGTGCCATGAAATACTGGATTCCTATAAAATTCAGTCAGTTGTTTTTTGGCAGATTGTCGACAAAAACATTCCAGAAGTTCATGCAATTGAAGGTTCTGATTCTAAAGAAATTCTCAACAAAGTATTAAGCATAATACCAAATCCACCTGTTTTGGATGAAAAGCAATTTCATGTGAGTTTCGAATTATGTATAATCCAATGTTTCTAAATTAGGTAAAAAATTTTGATTCGTTAATTGCTAAATTGAGCTAAATCACAAGCCAAACCTGATAAAACAATTCATTAATTGCGACTATACACTGTCCACCAGAAAAAAAGCTATTCGACAGTAGTTTCAGCTTCATTTTGTTATTTTTCAGATCAACCTATCTTAATAATTAACTATTAACTGAACTTGTTCAACAGATCTTTTTCTACTTAGAAAATTATACAGGACTCCATATGGCAAAATTTACATATATTTTTGAGCCTGCAAACGTCAGACAATATTAAATATCTGAAATCCTAGATTTTTACATTTTTTTCATATTTTTCCCATAGCAGAAGTTTCGCTGTGGAACACCCTATGTCAACCTAACAAAATTTCACAAAACTGTATCATATTTAAAAAAAAAAAACATTAATAACACGGTTTAAAGAATTATTTTACCATTCTATTGAACTGTCCATTAAGGTGGCTACAGACTATGCGTATGTTCGCAATTCGTCGTTGATCATTGATTTGTAAAAGTTCGTGCTGATACATGCAGGTTCATCTGAGTTCGCCGGTTAATGAGATTGTTTATTTAGTTGCACATGCGTTTGTTTTAACTAAAAATGGCCGAGGATTCTGAAGAAGAATTATTTGAGTGGGCAGATGGTCGCCTTCTCGCTCTTATTAGCGAAATTGAAAAGCTACCTTTATTATGGGATCCGCTGGATGAAGAGGAGAAAAATGATGTTCTTAAATGTTTGACTGACAAATTCACTGCGAAACAAATAAAAAAAAAATATTTTGCAATATTGCAAAAACAGTTGTCAGGCGTCAGAACAAACAGTATTTACAAACCAGTTTGATTTACCTATGAAGCCCTTAACAAATTTATGGTAATTATATTTTTGCAAGATTTTATTTTAGCTACATATTATAAATAAAAACTAAGCAATTGTTTTTTGTTTTGAACCAAATATGTAAAAATTAGAAAATTTATTGATCATTTAATTTATTAAGTTTCATTACTGATAACTGTCTTGCCAATCGACTCTGCCGTTTGTAAAAAAATATTCAGAAAACTCGTTGCGAATATTTTTTGCTTCCATACTTGTTTTCCTGCCCCTTTTTGATCAGCATTTTTTTTCTAAGATTCGTGGATAATTTCGCCATCCCTTTCGTTATCAAATGTTCCTGGATGTGTTGCGTAGATATTTCTGTAGTTACTGCTTTTTCTGAGAAAATTATGTAGTAACACACAACATTCTGTGATTAAACGAGCCTTTTCTTGATTTAATAAAATGGGTTTTTGAAGAACGCATTGCCTCCGCTTTGGCTTTCCTTTCTTTTGCGCCAGATGGAAAAAGTTTATAAACGCAAATCTTGTATACTGGTTGAAATCATGAACTACAACGAATCGCTAATATGTGCATAGTCTATAGGCTCTGATTTTTAAAATATTGTGAACTATTACGAATTGAGAACACAGACATAGTCTGTAGCTATCTTTCAAAATAGCAATGTCCAATTTTTCCAATAAATAAATAGTCATCCTGTTTGGAGGAAGTTTATTTTTTTACCATTTTATCTATTTTTAAGGATTTAAGAACAAAATTACGTTTGGGTTTTGAAAAGCCTTGGCTAATTTGCTTCTACCTTGGTGCTGCGACCGACTTAAATCTGCAACTTAAACGCCTTCCTACTGTAATACAAAATATCCATATAGGTAAGCAGCGACGTCACATAGTAGAACTGCCCTGTTCATTATTTTCACCATTTCAGGATTAATTAACTGTGGCCGCCATTCGGGTTTATGTGCGGCCCTCCATATTGTTCGATATCCCACTTGGGCTGTAGTGAAAGCGGGTGGTGCATTTGAAGTTCATCAAGGTAGGGACGTACTTCATGAAGTAGCAGCATTTGCCCGAGACAGTTCAAAATCTACAAACCTGCATGCGCTGTCACCGGCAGATTTTATCAATTTAAAGAACGACGGTGCTCCTTGGTTCGTTGATTGGTATGCCCCCTGGTGTCCGCCGTGCAAAAGAGTCGCTCCTGAACTACGCAAAGCGAGTCTAGCGTTCGAGCCTGAAGTTGTTCAGTTTGGAACAGTCGATTGTACACTACATAGAGACCTGTGCTTCAAGGAGGGCATACACTCATATCCGACTCTTACTTTGTATAATAGAAGTCAAACTCATAGATTTCAGGTGGTTAATTTTTTTATTTTTCTTTTCATTGGTTGATGGTGAATTATTTAAAGGGTACGCCGAGTGAGGAAACCATTGTGGAATTTATTCGAGACACTTTAAATCCGATCGTCGTCAGTTTGGATGAAAATTCTTTTGGCCGATTGGCGCGAAAATCAGATAAAGAACTCTGGATGGTTGATTTCTTCGCTCCGTGGTGCGGACCTTGTCAGAAGCTCGCGCCAGAGTGGCGCAAACTTGCCAAATCGGTATGTTGGATTAGAATTCCTTGATTTGCAGCTGACGCATCACATTTTAGGTGTCAGATTTCAAGCAAGTGGTTATAGCACAAGTCGATTGTGTAGCAAATTCGGAAATGTGTGATCATCAAAATATTGGGGGCTACCCGACTATTAGATTATACCCTTTGGGTAGTAAAGGATTGAGTTCTGTAGCGTAAGTAGGCATTTGACTAATTTTTTGAATATGAATCGAGTGAAAAAATGTTTTTCTGCTTTAACTGCTATTATCTTAACTGCTTATGGTTTTGCGAACTTTGTGACATTTACTGTAATAATCAAATTCAAATAATCTTAAACGTGCGTGCGGTATGGTTATTGGTAATAGTTTTTATATTGCAACCGACTACAATATACATCTTTGGCACTTTTTTGTTTTTCTATGCCACGTTAACTCAAAATTAATTGAACGTTACGGCAGACTAAGTAAAAAAAACATTATGTAATTTATGTATTAGTTAAGCTATTATCTTGATTCGGGTTTAAAGGCCGTCGTCGATTGGAATTACTTCCTAACGTTTCGCTAGCACGAGTGGCGAGCTTCTTCAGAGGTCCTTCCATCTCCGATGTTGGACGTAGACTGACATCGGAGATGGAAGGACCTCTGAAGCTCGCCACTCGTGCTAGCGAAACGTTAGGAAGTAATTCCAATCGACGACGGCCTTTAAACCCGAATCAAGATAATAGCTTATCAACGGGCCGCGAAAGCCTTAACCAATATGTATTAGTTGCTTTCAATTTGAAAAAAAATATTTTCCCCACTTTTTCAATTTCAGTTTAATTGTTAATCGAGATTACTAACCAAGTTAATAGAGTGAAATATTAAATGATTCTATATGGGAAAAATTTGGGAAAATGGTAAATATATAAACAATGTTAACATAAAAAATACAACCAAACATGAACCTCATATGAATGCGTGTACCCATTCCCAATGTAGTGAAATATTAAACAAACTCATTCAATTATTTCATTTAGGAACACTACAAAACGTCTCGATTCAAAAAATTGTCTTTTCTTCTTTTGACGCAGTACCTAATAAGCTAATATTTCCGTTATTAAATTGCAAAAGTGTATCAAGTAACACATATTCCATTACCACCACCAAAGTCTTCAAACAGAAGAATCGAACGTTGACTGAAAATCTCTTCTAATTTTTTAATTACAGTGTAGTCTGTATGTCTCACATTACTTGTTTTTATTTGACAGCCTAATTGAAACAGCCTAGTTGTTAAGAATCGAAAAATTGTTAGTTTAAATTATCATACCTTTTTTGTGATTTTGAGAATATGTTTAAACGTATGATATGGGCGATTCTATAAATTACCTTCCATCCATAACTTTTAAGCATGCGGCATAAAGCCTATGTTGCCTGCTAGTTATTAGGATTTGACTTTTCTGGCTATATTTAGGTATAATGTTTTGGAAAAAAAGTGCTGCATTTTTTTTTTAATTTTATACTTATAATTTTTGTAGAATTTACAATGGAAATAGAGACCATACATCACTTAAGAGGTGGCTACTGAATTTCATACCATCGAAAGTGGAAGAATTGACAGAGTTGCAGTTCAGGGAACAGATACTTACTCGAAAATATTACTTACCCTGGTTGGTCGACTTTTATGCGCCATGGTGCGGTCACTGTGTTCACTTCGAGCCAGAGTTCCGGACCGTAGCACAGGTTTGTAGATAACGTGAGAATATTTAAAGTGTCTAACCTCAATTCTTTAAATTTTCGACAGCAGTCTAAAATGCACTTCCAATTTTGTTTTCTATTTCCTATTCCGACGTTAACATTAAAAATAATGCAAACGTCAACATCAATATTATCTTGAATTGACAATTTTTATAATTAATTCAATTGCTTTTTATTGATATATTGTTCTCTCTTAAAATAAGTTTAGTTGTATATGCCAGTCTTTTTAATTATAGAGGTTAGAGGGAAAGGTAAGAGCAGGCAAAATCAATTGCGATGCCCACAGAGTTTTCTGCGGTCACCAGTACGTCATGGGTTATCCGACTGTGAGACTTTACATTTCTCCCAATAAATTCTATAACATTGAACAACAGGACGGCAAGAAAATTATAGAGAAAGTTAAAATGCTGATGGAGCAAAACGAAAAACAAAATGGCATCCATGACGAACTTTAAGTAGGTAATGTTTTCTTGTAGTTATTAAAATGAATCTCACGGAATGGATTAATTAAAATCCCAGATGAGAATTGCCAAGAGGATCTAGGAAACAGTAAAAGCTATTTGGAAAAACTATGTGCATTATACCTAACAACATGACATTTATAAGGTTCCCACCCACTTTTGCAGTTGTCTAACTGCGCAAATGATTTTGATTTTTTTTTTAAATTTTAACTGTCTCCTGGCTCCTACCTTTTCCATGATCCTCTGTCTTCTCTTGGACATACTAAATAACATAACTCATTTCCAAGGAATCTGAAATTTTTATATTCTTTTGCTTTTTGGTATTCAACTAAGTTTTTTTACAAACAACTTCATTTAGCTTTATTTTTTTATATATATAAATTAATTATTATTAATAATAGACTTGTAGCATGACATGGAATTGTTTCATGTTTGAGGAACAATGGTTATTGTCTTCATTTTGTGATGCCAAACTAATAGCGCTGTGTTGTAATTTACTTACAAATAAAAGGACTACTATTTTGTATGTTTTTTGTAAAATACTTTAATATAAAGAACTTTTTACAAAATCACCCTTAATAATACTTACAAAAAATTTAACAACCCCTAAGTTCTAATGTTTTTTTCTACGAAAAATACTTGATATCATTGCGCCACATATTTTTCATCAAGTTTTCCATACTTCATACTTGTTATACGGAAAGGCAAAATATAAATATTTAACAACTCTTTCATGTCATTTTGCTGCTATTAAAAAACAATAAAATAAATAATGTTAAACATCTCCAACAATAACAATATGTATACAAACTTCTTGATCTGATGAGCTGGATGGATGGTCCTTTTTGATTAACAGCAAACTGACTCGACACAGCGTAAAACCTATGTGAAAATGAATCTTAAATGTTCATTGATATCAAAAAAAAGCTATTCATAATTATTCGTGCAGGTAGGATAGAGAGGTAAGTACAATTTTGCTTAAATAACAACTTGTTAAAGTGTGATCAAAATAATAACCGTACTACAGGTACAGTATAAAGAAGGACTCTAAGATGAAGATACATTGATAAAGCTGGGTTTTAAATTTTCTGTCCCTACTTTATAGTACTTAAAGTTTTTGATGTGATGCGTTAGTTCGTTCGTAAATTGTTGCTGGGTGTTTAATGAAAGAAACTTTTCCCAAAATACGTGAAATTTTAAAATAAATTTAGCACATTTTTGTCGTTAATAGTTATGAAATAAGTGGAAAGAGTGTAGCGGAATTATATTAGTTTATGTAAATTAATAGAGCAGCTGTGCATTTTTTTTTTGTAAAACCTAGGCCCTTCCTAAGACCCTGAGCGGTAGTTTAAAAACCATAATTAGGAGGCGAATTTTAAGGACTTTTTATGTCAACATTGCGATTGATATCCTCCGTTTACAGAGTGTATCAAAGTAGAGTTCACAATCATGAAAAACACATTGTTTTTTTTGCAAGGTGTACTACTTAATAATTTCGTAATCAGTTTTGTCATTTACAAGACGCATTAATCAAAATAAAAAACTTATTGAAAATATCATTTGCAGGCAGTAACCTGGTTTAAAGCTAAAAGAGTAGTCTTAAACGGTGACATTCGATATTTGTGTCTCCTCCAAAATGTTGGTAAAAGATAGAAAGGAAGATGTGGTAATTAAAATTTTTAGGTAATCCTTTCTGTTAAATATTAAATAGAAGAATAACGAAAACCAGATGTCTAAACTACCTCGCGTTATTTTTTTTTATTTTCTTCGTAGTTAACCTTTGATTTATAGTAATTTAATGTAATATTTATTAATTATTGTTTCAAGAAATATTTAAATTCTCTTTATCAAGTTTAACGCCGTTATTAGTTGTTTACCCTGAACGTCACGTCACATCACAAAATGACCCCATAAGTATGGGAGTAAAGGAAGTAGGATTGATCCTCCTTGATATTCGATGATAACTCTTAAATCTCGCTTATAATTGTAATTCAAATTCAATGCAAAAAAGGAGTGGGGTGCTACGGTTTAATATATTTTTGGAACTATTGAGAATTCTACTGCGCAACCAAATTGTAAACGAAAACATCAAGTCAACTGAAACTGAAATATATTACTGACGTCTTTTAACAGCCATATGATTGCACCATATGGAATGAGTCTCACTAATGCAATGGTGGCAAAAAATAAGAATTAGACCTTATTGGTTTCAACGGTTTTTCCAAGTAAAAAACTTGAAACACTTACAATGAGTTTAAAAGAGAAGAAATACTTAAGATATGTATATGTTTATATCCAGATTGGCTTTTTGCTAAACCAAGAATAAACAAAATTGTTTCATAAAGTGTATATAAGAAAAGTCAATAAGTGCTGTCAATTGTGGTAGTAAAATATTAAATATTTACAGCCAATAACACATATATTTCTTTGAATTGAGATTTTCGTTAATTAAAACGCCCAAATACTGCCCTCTTTGGCCGTATCAGGTTGTCTGATTGTCAAAACAAAGTTAGGTTGTTTGCACGAAAATAGACATAGAAGGTTCCACCGGTTTTTATTTGGCGATCGTGTAATTTAATTTAATTCAGTCTAGCGCAGATGTGAGAGAGCCAGCATGATGCCCTTATGAAAGTTTGCCATCCACGTATTTAATTTTTTTTGACTTCCTAAGGAATTTATATCAAAGGATTACCGTTTTCCTTATTTATATTCACAATTTATCTGCAAGAGGCAGTACACGACCTTGACACTAATAAATTAAGTTTTCGCGATCGTATTTGTCTAGTGTTAGCCAAATGCAAATAAATACGGTTATAAAAACGTTGATAAAATTGGACTTGTTAGACTATAATGTTGAACACTCTCTTGGCCAAGTTCACTATCGTCGCGTTCTCCAAAATTTGATTGATGTACTGAAACAGAAACGAAAAGAACAAAATTACAAATCTATTAGGAGTCCACACCATCAGTAGCTGCTGAATATAATTATCATTGCAACAGGCTTTTTGTTTTGAATTATCCTAAAATTTATTTTTAAGAAAAGTCGTATTAGAAATTTTGATGGAAGGCTACTAGACTGGTAGCGTTTTCTAAAACCCTTTATTATAGTACCTCGATTGACCTACATGGTATGAAAGCAGTCCTGTATGCGCATTTTCCGACCTATCTAGAAATAGTTTTCTTTTCAGTTTTAATGTTCAGTGCAATTTAGTAACATTAGGTTTTTCTCACAGTTACCGCCAATTAATTTTATTATTCTCAAATTCGTTAATACAGAACAGAAAAACGAACTTCCAATTGTTTGTATCCCAATGCCTTGTCTGTTGTGTGTCACAATAAAATGTTTAAAAAATTATGTAATCTAAAATACATTGTTGTAATCTGACTGAATTGCTAACGTACCAGTGGCCAAATAAAGAATAAAAAAAGAAAACTATATTCAAGTCGGTATCCCTGCAACTACTATTCCTCTGAAATGATTTTCCTACTTGAAGCAAATCAAAATTAGACTGGATAAAATTCCTAAAAAAAGACACTCACCCGTTTTACTTGCTCTTGTACTGATGGCTTGAGTTCAGGCCATAAGATGTCCAGTGCTTCTGGTGCCATCCTCGATATAGCTTTATTTATCAGTTCCGCAACTTGAGTGTTGTTCATCAAATTGGCGAATCGGTTCTAAAATGAGCATTTTTAAATATACTACCTAAAACGAAGGGAACAAGAAAGGCTAAGATTGGATTAAATATCGTTTAAAGAGTGTGTCATAAGAAAAGGGAAATATTGAAATGACATAAAAAATTATAAATGTAAACCTGTGTTCGGAAGAACCTCCTTTCTGGTGGGCTTCACAACCACAATAAATGAAAAATTGGGTTTTATAAAATACCATTATCAAAATGGTTTTTTTTTTAATTAAGCAAAAAATAAACTAATTAATATTTACATATTATATAATTTTTTAGTAACAGGTCGAAGTACAATACATCGTCGTGCATTCGTCGGGATTATAACTGAAAAGCGGTATACTAAAAAAAACTATGTACTTCAGTGACCTTTTACGAACCGCGACTAACAAAAAATTTTACAACAAAGATATACCGAAACTATTGAAATCATGATAATCAAATAGTATTATCACAGATCAAGCCAACATCAAACAATCCTGAGCAAGCTTATCCAATATGCGCATGCGCCAGTCATTTCAAACCTCGCTTTCAATCAACTACCGTCTTATTTTGCAAGATTTTTGTGGTTCCTGATTCTAACAGTAATAATGCCTTATTAAATATACATTTTGTACTCACTTCAAGTCTTTTTAATTTGATATTGATGTTAATATGCTCCACTCTAAGTTTAGCCGGTAGCGTGAATTTCAGAATCGTGGTAGTTCCCAACTTCAAATCTAATAAATTTAACCTGAAAATAAATAATACGGTTTTTATACTGCTCGGACTACTTCCTTGAGGTTGATCTCTAGGCAAGTCTTTTTAGCATTGAAAAAATCGCAATACGCCATCTAATATGTATAATCGAGCCAATAAATATGGGTTTGTAATTGTATACCTATATATGGTTTGCAAAACCGGCTACAGAGACGAGGAAGAGGGTTTCTCAAATTGGAGCCGAATGCGTTTTGTTTAATATTTTGTGCTAGAAACTGGGGATCGCCGTTTTATGAGTTTGTTTCAATAGTTTAAACTTAATAATCATAATAAAGCGAATAACACATAAAATATTTGTAGATGCTTTTCTTATATGGTAAATTTTAAAACTTTTAATATTTATGCATTGTAAAATTGAATTGAATTGAATGTTTATTGGCATCAAGTCGTTGAAATATCTTGAATTAGGGCAGAGACGGCTTAGCCTTCGAAATATATGTATAGTTCTCAAACTAGAACCACCAATGAACTAAAAAAGCTCTAACTATTTCTAAAATTTGTTGGAAATTGTAATACTTCAATTTCCTTTTAAAGTGGTATTGAGGCTATACCTCATTTTGTAGTAAGTAAGTATTTTATTAGTCAAACAATACTACTCTTAGCTTTATGTTTTAGTTCGTTTTGTACCTTATATTACTGCAAACATAGAGTGACTATACCTTTCTGCGAATATCACCTAATTGCTTATTTGTTATTCTCTTTGATAAAATTTGTAGAAATGTCTATAAGGAAACAAGCTGTTATTTTTTTTACCAACTGAACCGCCTCCAACGCTTCGTGCACATAATTTCGATGTGCATACAGAGATTTTACAGCAACCATGAAAATACTTACCAATGTACAACCAGAACTATCATTTGTTAAAATTAACATTTCTTTTTACAAAGCATGATTATGTTGGAATTTATGTAATCTGGTTCAATAGCAATTGATTTCCAACAATTGTACAATGTTCTCGGATTATGGGGCAAAACAGGTTCATAGTTCTGCACTTACATTAATTTTGTGAAACATTGATAAACAGCTAAAACGAACAACTTGATATGTGTGACGTATAGCACCGCTACTTGCATGACACGCAGATTTTCGACAAATTCGTGACCAAAATTCAAACACTTAAAATAAGGAATATTCTCTTTATTAATAATTTAAATTTAATCTAATAGACTTTGCCTTGGCAAATTATATTTATTGGTTTATTTTTACTGAGAAGAAGTAGCAATAAAATATTTTTTATACGATAGTATTTTTCTAATACATATAAATTTTAATTAGCCAGGAGTTACCAATAGTTCCTAACTTACCAGAACGGCCCGGCACCGTACACCACGAAATTATTACCAATTTTACCCTGGACGTCGTATAGTCCAGTGACTCGAATTCGGGGGAAGGTTAGGTTAAGGTCCAGTTTAAACCTTAGGTTACCCAGATCGGTAAATTTTTCTTTGTCCACCTGGAACTTCGATATGTGTTTTATCGTCAGGTTCTCCGCTTTCCCTTTTAACCTAAAATACAAATCCACGACATTAAAATTATGTAATAGCGCATTTTACGACACGATAAAAGGAATTGCCTTTGTCTTTGAAAAAATATTGACGACGCCATTGATAAACCATCATTAACAATGTTTTTCATGTTACTATGCGCGACCTGTATGACGAGTTTGATTAGAGGAAAAAATATGATAACCTGAATAATAACAGTTCAAACAAGTTAAGAAATTATTTATTCCAAAACAAAAATAATTTGATTCGGTATCAAATAAGACATTACAGGTAACTAAGGTAATTAATTTAAAAAGGATGAATAATAAATTATAAAAATCAGAAGAAACATCAGGATTTTGTTTCGACTGTTTATGCACTCTCAATATTGCAAAGATTTCCTAAATAGGATCTTTGTCACTTAAATATTTACAGTTTTAATCTAATAATAAATAAAATCGCGAAACAGATATATATATCAATTTGATATAGTTGAGTTAAAGTTTCTTGACAATTTACGCTTTGCGAAAAATAAATTTAGTTCTATGTTTATATTGTAAGCGATCAACCTTTTCGGTAACCTTTTTCTTAAATTGAAAAAAAATATATATACGAGTCATGTTGTTTTTATATGTTGTGTATTTGGCTTTTAGTGAGTTTATAAAAATTACTTATCATTCTTTTAGAACGTGATTATGCTCTGAAACAACATTTAATTTAATTTGTTGATTAATAGTTGGGGTGATGACTCAAACAAGATTGTTTAGTTTTGGTATTGTAACTCAGTGTAATATTTTGTGTTTTTTAATAAAAAAGAGTTAATGCTTTTTTTTTCAAGGATACTATCCTATCAAATAATTTTACTTCTCAAATAACTTATGTATTTTGCAACCCTAGATAATATTATTTTCAGTTTCAGAAGTGGATGTCTCATCAAATTTAAAGAAACTAATCATACTCTATTCTACTCTACACGCCTTGCTGCATGCATATAATACGAAATGTCCAATATATCAGCTTTCAACTTTTTAACAAAAAGTAAGACAGACGATCGATTCTCTCGTAATATTATCTATACTTATACGAGGCACCTTTCGTAAAGATCCTAAAGAAATGCAGAATCGGTAGGTCATTTAAAATTGAATTTTCATTGAAAATCGCAATATTTTAGTTTTTCTTTTTCTGAAATTAGGAGGTAAACTTGATATTCCAAACGCAAACATTGGGAAAAATTATATATGCATATTCCGCTACTCCCTAATGCGTAAAACATGCATTCCTGGTTAATCCAGTTGTTATATAACAGAGAAGAAAATTAAAAATTTCGCGTGTTTCCGCAAAACAAATTGCCTCGTTACCTTGCCGCGTCATGGTTGACGTCAAACTCGATCTTGTTTATGTGCAGCGGATCTAAGACGGGTATACCCAATTCTGGAATTCCCCTCAGCAAAATCCCCCTGAATTCTTCCAGCAATGCCCTTAGACGGTCCTCGACTCGTCCGAATGTCGTTATAACCCTGTCTACCGTTCTACCGATGAAATTCACTCCACCTCGAATAATGACTGAAAGCAATAAAAATACACAAATAAATATAATAGAACTGTTCTACAAAAAATTTGAAGAAGCACCTTGGATAAGTGTTTCTTCACAAGTCCAAGTATATATACCAATTATTCCTGCTAGTGAACTATCTATGTTCGTCACTTGAGCTAATTTTATAATGATGTGTTTATGGCAAGAAGTGTGTATCTGTATCCGTTGTCTTTCTTGATATACAGGTTTGTCTTTATTTCGATTATATTATGCAACATGCAATATCTCTATTCGAATGAGCTGGTTCGCGTATAGATCCATCAGAACATGTGTTTTTTAGCATTAATTGGAAATGTTACTAGCACGTATTTTGCACGTACATATTTTTCAAAAATTTTTCTTCGCAAAATTCATTAAATTTATATATATATATATATATATATATATATATATATATATATATATATATATATATATATATATATATATATATATATATATATATATATATTTTAGTTTCTATCGTCGATATATAATAATTGTCTTTGACTTTAATTTTAATTATATGTGAGGGATTCTTTTAAACTATGTGTACATCCAGATTTTACCTCTAACAAATTAATTAATTACAGTCCAGCTATTCTTCTACATAAATTGGACACGAGATTTTCTTGCTAAGGTTTGCGTGACTAATAATTCGTGACTTATGTTCGACTGCACGTGATTCGTTTACTATTAGTTCCTCTCCTCTCGTCTGATCGCTTTTAGGATGCCAGAATGTCGCTTTTGTAAAACCCCTCTTATTTGAATTTTTATTCCAATTGTTTGAACGCATTGACATAAAAAGTACTTTAATAGTTTTTAGTTTTCCTTTCTTTGATCTAAAATTTATTGCTGAACAGTGATAAAGGCAATACACTTTTCTATTTTCCCTTGTGTCAAGCCACATATATTCTTGATTTCTGTTTCTGGTTCACTTCGATACTATTATTTCTGTAGCAGGATTTTTAGGATCTGGCAATAACTACTTCGTCTATGCAAGCGCTTGTTTTTCTGAAACTACTGAAAATAGGTTTTGTATGGAACTGTCAAAGTGTTTCAAGCGGTATTGTAGCTGTCATTCTGACACTTAACGATTTCAATTCATTTCATTTTTTATTTTATCCTGAAACTTTTGTTATGTTTACGTGGAAATTAACGAAATGAAATATCGTTAAAAGTTTTTGTAATGATAATTTAAAAAGCGCATCTGCTATAACTATAAATTTAAGGCCTGCATCATTCCACAGAATTTTGGTTGGTTTGGGATTACACAAACTTCATTATATTAACTCGCAGATTCATGACATTTCGTGGTAAATGTCGTTGCAATTGTTTATTCCCTTATTTTCCCATTAAAAAACTAACAACCCAGAACAATGGTGGCGGTATAATAAAGAATTAGAAAGGGATTAGAAAACATTATTCGGTATGTCGTGTCATCGGCAGAGACACGAACTGTTAATAATTACTGTAAAATTTCAATAGAAGTAAAACGGATTTAAAAGGACAATAATAGTTATATTCCACGAATTATTTTTTTACCTTTGGGTGTGCCATAGACATTGCAACACCCGTACAGAACTATATTTACTATATTTTTTTGCAGGCGATTGCCCCTGCAACTTTTTTAGTGCCATTCTATTCAAAAATTTGTTTGTTATAGACATTTTGTTCAATGAAAAAGAATTTTGTGTTATTTTTTTCTCAAATTTGCTTAGAGCTTGCTTGCTTCAATTTTAATGTCTTTCGAAACACGCACCGAGTATCGGCAATTAAGTGAATTTAAAGGAGATTGGCCTACTAGAGGCTGGGATGTCCTTTCGGGAAATTCGAAGCAAGGTTGGCTAATAGTAATGAGATGTTGGACAGAGTGGTCTGTACCAACACCATCATAGTTGTAGAATTACTAAGGCTTTAAGCAGAACCAGCGATCATGAAGAACGGATTTTAGGGCTTCAGGATTAAGTCGGGTTTATTGAAGAATTATGAACACCCAGTCCTACATTAATAACTTGTTACAACTTGTCGCGTATCCGTTTCAGAAACTAAAAGATCCAATTTTTCAATAATACCGCTACACTTACTAGAAACTTCTTAAGACAAGTTAATGTTACCCTTCTTCCGCGAGCAAGGTCACCAGAGAATTAAACATGCATTGGATATGATAGTAGAAATTTAACTGAGGTGACTTTTACTTGATGAAAATCCATTTATCAAAATAAATAAGAACTAAAAGTTCAGATTTTCACGAAATTATATATTTTTAAATAACAATTGTTTCAACAACACCGTGCTTTTATTTGTCATTTGATAAAGATACGGTGTTGTCGAAACAATTGTAATTTAAAAATATATAATTTCGTGAAAATCTGAACTTTTAGTTCTTATTTATTTTTATGATAGTAGAAGCAGAGTTACAGAATATCAAAACGTTAGTGGAGACGCAACTATTAAATTTTGAAGAATTCGTGTCCATAAATATATCCGAACCACTTCCCGAAAAATGTTTCATCTCCTTTGAAACACAGTACACTTGCGCGGCAAAAATTTTAATTGCTGAAAAAGTTATTTGAGTAATTATTCGTCGCATTAAAAATTTAAACAATGTTCTAGTCGCAAATTAAAAAAAAAATCTATCATGATAAACAACAATTACCGACTAGTAAAATGACCATTCATCCGTTCACTTTCAAACACTATTCCGGTTATTTAGTTATTTTAGTTTTGTTTTGCCTTTTCAGTTTTCAATTGACTAATCTTTAACAATGGAAAATAGGAAAATTAGTATCATTTTGGAACAAGTAACTTACCGAAAGTGGTATTCGACACCCGGTTTAAAATATCCGCAACCCTCGGCACTCGCAAATCGAACTCGAGTGCGCCGTACGCCCCAACGCAGGACAAGCACACAAATAGCAAAACTGATAATTTTTTGGTCATGTCGTTTTTGGTCTTGTGGTCTGTTTTCGTGACCTGCCTTGTTGTTATCCGATGACAAAAGTAAATTGGCCGCCGACGCGCGACACTCGAGAAGAAGAGACCGAATTCACTTTCTTCTAACTCGTCATTTTTTCCCGTCGGCAATCAGCGCGAAGAAATAAACAATTTCGCGAGTCCCACGTCCAATTTATATGCATACATATAAACGTTTAAGTGTTACTTTGTTCACGTTCCAGTCGGTTATTTGCAGTAAACTGTTTTACGGAATAGTAGGGACATATTATTTACAGAGTGGCCTCGACTACTGGTCGAATTTTGGTCGGTATTGCGCTGGGTTATTTACGTTTATTTATTTTTTACGCAACTACCTGTTTGCCGCGTGGGTTCAAAATCGGTGTGGCGGAATGCGGAATGTGAACTCTCGAAACTAAAAACAAAAATATACGTTTTTGAAAGGGTTACAGATGATGATGCTTAAGGGAGATCATGCGGGATGTGGGAATGTGCAATAAAGCGTCTTTTTACAAAATAGGTTTCATAAAACTGATATAGATAATGTGCTCTCAGGAATGCGTTTGAGTGAATTGAGTGCTCCACAAGGCAGTGTACTCGGTCAGATATTTAAAAGACTCTGTGGTAAAATAGATTTATTGCCCCTAAAGTAACACACTCACTGCACACACTAATAAAGAAGAAAGGAATAAAATAGCTTTTGCACTTGCACCCAGAAAAAAATTGCTACCTATAACATTTATAAAAACAAGGTATACAGTAATATATTATACCACATAGACTTAATATTACAGCAAAGTCAACAGAACGAATTAATTAAATTACTTAAAAAAAGAAAAAATATATATGGCTGATTTTCTTATAATTATAAGCGCTAACAAGATGTTGAAAATTACATGAAATGCAATGATTATTCAGAGAATTCTTTAAGCAGTGCGTAAAGCACTGGTGCCAAGAATACAAATAATAAATTTTTAAAAAGAATAAATAGAAAAAATGGCAAGTATAAAACCCATTACTTATTACTATCATACATTGTAGAGTACCTATATTTAATTTACATCAAGAATCTTTAACTGTTTTACAAATTTTATATATTTATTTATATTTCTTAAATTTTCTGGACGCTTATTATAAGTACACGCTGCTTGGAATATTGGATTGGAAAGTCCCTTATTAGTTTGGATATTATAATTGTTAATATCGTTATGAGATCTGGTCTTTATTAAATATAATCTTCATGTTACTCTTTAGTATTTCAATTATCACCTTATACATAAATTTACATTGTTCTAGCATAAGAGATTTGCCTATCTTATAAATGTCCAATTCTCTATACAAATATTCTATATACGTGTGACGATCACAATTAAATAAAATTTTTAAGAATTTATTTTGTAGAAATTGTATTTTATTAAAATAAGTTGCGCCACATACAGGAATTAGATATCTCATATATGATACAAAATAAGAATCGTAAATATTCGTAACTCAGATTATTTCGGCTTTTATGTATGGCACTGATCAATGGGTCAATGTTATTTGATATGAAATTAATATGTTCAGCCCAGTTTAAACTATCATCGATCAGTAGGCTTAAATATTTAATTCGTTTAACACGTTCTATATTTATATTTTTAATACTTAATCTTCACCACTATAAAGTAGCACTGTATCGTCTGCATACCCTGCACACTGTAAATTTAAAACATATAACGAGTACAACAGGACTGAACCCTGAGGTTCGCCACATGCACATTTATTTATTTATTTAGGTTGTTTCCAACAAAATTAATTACAATCTGATAATTTAACAATGCCATCGTGAACTATGGACTGAAGAATTGAAGAAAAAAAAGAGTCCAGTATTATACAATTCATATTAATATTAAGCAGAAAACCAAGTTCTTTTATTATTTATTAGCAACTCTTGGAGTTTATTTTGCAAAATCGATTTGCTCTTTAATTAAATTGGTAGGGTTTAAGAAAAATATTTTTGATATTTGGTTAGTCAAGCACTTGGAATAAAACAGTTATGATTTTGTGCATACCTCGCGATATTTTGTGTTGCTTTGTTGAACTACTTTTGATATTTCATTGCAAATCTTACCTTTGATTTCATGTACAATTGATTAATTTGTAACACTGCGGCCTCACCGAATAAGTGTATGCTACAATGTAACTTGTTTTCTTATTATTAATATATAATAATGTTCCTGTCGAGTTTGTTAGTCAAATATATATACAGTAAAATCCAAGAATCCTTTAATAGCGATCACCCTTTGGGAATCAAAAATTGGTGGTAATTAAAGCAACTGCTTATATTTTACATTATTTAATTATTCATAATTTTAATTAGAACTTACTAATAATAAATTTAATTAAATGCCTCCTATTTGTACACAATATTACATATACATAAATAACGACCAAGAACTTTTTTATGTACATATTATATATTAAATATTGTATTGTAATATGTCAATATGTTTAATTAATTAACATTCTATATGTTGTCTACACGATTGTTGCATACCTGTTAATTTATTTGTATAAAATTCCGATTCGCATTTTCATAACAGTTTAGATATATCTGCAGTCATTTCAAATTAAGAAAAATGGAAAAAAGTTTCTCAAACTTTGGTATATTGGACACTCTTCAGCCTCGTCTTCAGAATCGGAAGTAGAGAGTTGTACCTCTTCAATGCGGTTGTCATAAAGATAATATCTTTTTTCTTAAATAAACCTTTTTTACTCTTGAGATCTCGTGTCTTCGTTTTCGAGCAAAAAACTAAAAATAGTATTTGTTAAGGTTCCTCCGGAAGCAGCACTAGACAACAATTTTAATCCAGTTCGAGCCAACTTGAACCTTTTAGCATTATAAATCTCAGCAAAAGCGGTCAAAACATTTTAAAATTATTAATTAATTATTGTTAAAAATATAAAAATTAAGCACATTTATATAAACCTTTTGTCTTTTCTTTTTTGAATGGCGAATTTTCAGTCGAGCCTTGACCCCTGTGTTTTGCAACACACAACATAGATGAATGAATGAATGAATATACTGAATATCATGTTAATTACGTTAAATTGGTTAACTATCGAGCCTTGAAATAGGTCGATCCTTGTTCTAATATATAAAATTGTAAATAATTTCATACTGGAACATTTAAACTTATACAAGAAAAAGCGATCTAAAATTCATCGATGGGGATAATATTTGATCTGCTGAAAATCATTCTTTTACGATGTTCACATAAATTAAGGAGTTTTAAGGATATGCAGTTATTGTTTTTTTTTTTTTGCTAGCAAAGTGCTATAACAAAAATCATAATAATAATATTGTTATTATAAACACTTCTCATTTTACCTAGTACTATTACTATCTAATCTTGGGTTTTCAAATTTTAAATAAAAACCTATAGTCACGAAAGAAATTTTTTGTTACACAGTTTAAAGTAGACACTCGTACATTATTTGTTAAAGATCTGCCACTTATCATATCACAAGTATCTTTAAAAAGCTAATTTTAGAAAAACATGTTTGCGATTCATGTAGGAACACAATGTATAAAGTTGCTGTACTAAATATTTTTTCTAATTTAGGTGTTGCATTAGGAATCCAAAAAAACATGAAGGTCGATAAATCGCGAATTAGCATAAAACAAATCTTGAGTCGTTGAAGATTGTGACAGATATTCACTCGGGCGTTCAGGATTTCGTAAACCAAGCCACGTTTTATAATACGTAAGTTTGGATGTGCTGAAACATGTTGTCTTGACAGAAAATATACAAGCATATTTTATTGGCTCAGAATGGTAGAAATAGTTCAAAATATTTTTATGCGGCGGATGATATAATGCAAATAGTTTATATCATCTTCTGATGATGTTAACTTGCCTAACATGCTTCATCGATAATTATTACATTTTTAAATACCGTTTTCAATAGTTTTGCAGGAAAAGTGTCGTTTTGATTAATCTGGGGCAACGATTTAATGTTATTAACAATTTGATTAATAACGAACTTCGTAAATGAGGTTTGCGAAACATCAGGTTTATTACGTAATACGAGCGTTCCCACAACAAACGGAACATGCTTCTCCAAATTATGTACGTTACTTTCTCAACTCTTATGCAATTCGAGAAGTATGTCGGCACACTTTGCGTGTGTTACTTAATGTCTGTGGCGATGCTGTAATAAATCATAATCGATCTGAATAGGCAGTCGCCAAATTTTACTCAAAAAATCCTGATTGTGCACCATCCTTAGACAAACACGCTTAATTATAACAATAGTCCTGAATGATGCCCACATCCAGGTGACAAAGCCCTAACCGTTAATGTTGAAAAGGGATTTTTCTTGAAAACTTAATTGTCATAGGCATCTGCAATAAACTATAGTTTTATAATCACTGTAGTATTAATAATAATAATACCAACAATAATAATAATAATAATAATAATGATAATACTAATCATAATAATAATAATAATAATAATAATAATAATAATTGAAGATATATTGGAAAATGAAGTTTTTAAATTAAATTGAAATAGAGAAATCACAACTGACTTCAACATTCAAGCAGACAGGCCTGACGTTCTTCTTAATTATAAAATAAATATGGAAACTATACTTTCATAGAAACAACAATAGCATATAACTTGCAAGAAAAAGTTACAAGGAGGCATGTATTTTTTAAGAGAAGATTGGCAGGTAATTAAATGAATAGTCACAGTAAATAGCAATTGCTCTGCTCTGTCGTTCAGCCAAATCCTTTATCAACTTACACAAAACAAAAAAAAACTAAAAAAAAAAATTAAAGTCAGTATCTATTAAACTAAAGTAGTTCCAACAAAAAGTGATGTTCCAATGTCAACTGGTAACTTAGAAAATCCTTGACTAAGGCACGTTTATTCTTTAATAAACTATAAAAAAACTTGAGAAACAATGATTTCTTTCCTCACCCCTTCCAGTCGACTGGCCTTACGGTTCTTTTCTTGAACAACTCAGAAACTCATTATGACTATGACTGTTCGTAATTTGCATGCGTTTATTTACTCGAACCATTTAGAGTAGCAAGATCAAAATTAGTACGTTATCTTATTAAATCTTCCTTGTGATCCAAGATAGAACCTGAAAGATTTTTTCAGCTGGTTAAAGAATGGATTTGAAATACGATACATATAGCAAATTCACTGTTGAATATATTTTCTTGTTCTTGATAGGGAAATAATCTGAAAAGCGCATATTCA